CTTCGTCGTAAATAATAGATTGTTTTGTATATTTTTTGGCAATTTTTCTTTTTAATTTTGAATGACACACACTCAAAGTGCTTACAATACCCCAGCGAACACATAAAAAGCGAATATGCATCCACCAGGGAACGGGCCTCCACAAAAGGAGCCCAGCACAAACGACCCTGCCTTCATAGACCTATCAGTTCAAATAGGGGGTAATAATAACGCTAGGTCAACTGTTAGTGACACAGTACAGGGAGCTCCAAACAATACATCAGGTGCAACTAAGAATACCGGGGCGGTTCCCAAACAGAGTGAGGCCCAATCAAAACTCTTAACACTACCACAACCACCCCCCTTGAATTTTCCCCACCCTTCTCCAACTACTTACGGCGGGACCAACCGGCTTCCCATAGGCAATTCAACCAAGGCTCGTGATATCCGAGATGAAATAGCACCGGTTCTAAAAGAAATGATCGCGGAAGCACAAAAGTGTCTGATGAGCGAAATGCGTGAGAATATGCAGGAGCTAATTAGAACAGCACCAGGTTCACGGGCAGGCACGCCAGGTTTCGATAATAGGGCGCGCAAGCGAATGCCCAAAAAGAGGAAACACAGTACCAGCATCGAATCCTTGGAGTCGAGACGGTCAAACAGTGTTGTGCCTGGGAGTGATAAGGTTATTAATCACACCGCACAAGATGCAAACAACTACGTTGTAATATAGCATTCAGCTTCATATTCACTGGCTTACCACGATCCACCACCAGTTCGCCAACCACCAACACTAGATGCAGCAATCCCGGCAGTCCCCCCTGCCGGTCGGTGTTATGCAGAAATTTTTTTTTGGCAAACTGTGTGCTATTGTTGTTGCAGCGAACTCAGAGAGACCGAGTTTGGCGACTCTCAAAGCAAACTAATTTACAGCGCGTTTACATTAGACAATGCTGTTAATACAAAAAAAAAATCCGTATTAGTTGTCAAAAACGCTGATAATTTTCTCCGTGGCGTTGGCATCCTGACAATAGTTAAGACAATTCATTTCGAGCAAAATGTCGAACGTGAACGTTGAATTATAAGTTGCAGAAATACGCATGTCGCGCGAGCTATTTTAGTTCTTTTTTTATGAATTTCTCTTCTTTCTTGCACAAGACGCCAAAATTATTGTCTGCATACGTCAAGCCATTGCCCGATTTACTGTCTTGAAAATAATCAAGACAGTGATTGAGACAATTGGAAAAGTATGCATGTATTAGTGAAAAAGTGTGCATGTATTGCTGTTGTTATGACAGTATTGTCCGGTGTCAACCCTAAGTTAGTCGCGCCA